ATTTGATTCCATTGATCTATGTGTCTGTCATTGTACCAGTACCATCCTTCCACAGTGGTTGCACCATTTGACACTCCCACCAACAGTGAATAAGTGTTCCAGTTTCTCCACAACCTCACCAGCATTTGTTGCTTGCTGTTCTGTTAAATTTTGCTATTCTGACTGGGGTGAGATGGTACAGTTGTTTTGATTTGTATCTCTCTTAGAGCTAGGGATTTTGAACATTTCTTCATGTGCTTTTTGGCCCATCTACCTATGGTCAACTGATTTTTGATAAGGAGATGAAATAAGTTAAGTGGGGAAATGACACCCTTTTTAACAAATTGTGTTGGCAAAATTGGAAAAATATCTGCAGAAGACTCAAGCAAGATTCATACCTCATTCCATATACAAAAACCAACTCAAGGTGGGTCATGGACCTAGGACTAAAACCAAGGACTATAAACTTCATTAAAGAAAAGCTCTTCATTAAAGAACTCTAGTAGTCCTAATCTACGACATAAACAGTCTTCCAAGTGTCCTGAAAAATCTACAACCAGGAGAAGACAAAATAGATGAGTAGGACCTTCTAAGAATCAAATCCCTATGCACATCCAAAGACTTCTCCAACAGGGTGAAAAGGGAAGCCCAGTTGGGCTTTTGTATCGAGATCAAAAGAGCTAACTACTGAGTTACAAAAAGTTCCAAGAACCTTCCTAATAGAATATAATTTTTTTTTCTGTGAAAATGTCAAACTAAATTTTAACTTCAACTATGTCGAATTATCTTCATTAAGGCTGAACTTCTTTACTGAGGAAAATATTCTGTCTTAACGAATGGATAGAGAAGCTGTAGTATACTCACACAATGGAATACTATGCTTCATTGAAAAACAAGGAACTCATGAAATACTATACAAAATGGGTGACCCTGGAAGATATTATGTGGAGTGAAATATCTCAGTCACAAAAGGACAAGTGCTACATGGAGTCACTGTTGTAAAACAGGACTGGCATTGGGGTTAGGGAGAGACCAAGAAAGAGGAGATAAATAATGTATACTGCATTGAAACAGATGAGGGAGAGAACTGTTTGAAAGGGATATGTGATTAGGTATTATTGTCATGACAGGAGTCCAGAACAAAGACTGCATAATGGAGTGGACATGGGGGAAGGGATTGTATAACAATGAAAGAATTTTTCTTTTACTTTTCAAAGAGAAGAGCGAACTGGGAGGGGAAGAGTGGGCAGGGAGAAAAGTGCAACAATGAATGAATGGAAATCCAAAGTCTCTGTAAACGTTCATTAAAATTAATAATTAGAAAAGCAAAATAACCCCCAAAACAATATAATATTTAAATTCCAAGGTGTCAGATCTTGAATTAACATCCAGTATGAAGAGACGGTTACTCAAATAGCCCTTTGAATGGTGTTTGTTTGTCTAAAAGAATACCAGAAAGTTATTATTATTATTGCTACTTTTAGCATCAATACTTTTACTGAGTGCTGCAAATGTGGAAACCCCCAATATCAAAGTAATTAAATACAAATTCAAGCAAAATTTCTCTCTACTCCCAGCTGGCATGCTTAGGTGAGTATCAGTTCACACTTGTGGGTTCAGTACGGATGATTAAAGACACATGGGTGTATTTGAATCTTACGTTTCAAGGCTAGAAGAAACCTCAGTTTAACCAGTTTAAACCCCTCACAGTTACATAGTGAAACAGAGGTCCAAAAAAGGCAAGCGATTTCCTCAAAATGGTACAATGTAAATAAAATTCTCATTTTCATTTGTGATTTACTGCTTCTGAAAACACACTCTAGTGTCAGCTATAGATTGGTTCTGACTCAACAGTACACAACACCACCACCACACATACCTACCAGCAACACTCTTACTGTATCATAAGACTTCACAACTAATTGGATAATTGTAGAATAATATGTGGAAGTGAGATGGGAAGTTCTGACACCTTTCACCGCAGTAATTATTATTATAATAAAGCAATAAAAAACAATAAAATTTTTCTTGTACATCATACTATAAACTTTAATGTTTATAACAATTTTCTTGAATGAAAGCAGTAATTGGAATTTCAGTTAACTCAAATAGAAATGAGAAAGTGAGGGAGCTCTGGTGGTCTAGTGGCAAGAAGCTGCAAGTGCAATGCCAGACGTTTGCGGTTCGA